CGCCCGCCGCCCGCCGCGGCCCGCGCCGGCCGAGCCGCTCCTGCTGGGCGCCCCGACGGGGTCCGGCCGGGGGCGGGGGCCGCGGCCGCCGAGGATGGGGAAATCCAACAGCAAGTTGAAGCCCGAAGTTGTGGAGGAGCTGACCAGGAAGACCTACTGTGAGTGCGCGCGCCGGGACCCCCGCCCCGCGCTCCGCGGCGCTGCCTCCGCCCCCTCGCGCCCCTCCCCCACGCCCGGCCCCCACCCCCAATCCCCGGACCCCGCCACCCCCCCCCCGGCGCCCCCCCCCCGCCCGCCCCCCCCCCCCAACCCCCGCCCCCCGCGCCCCCCCCCCGGGCCCCCCCGCCGCACCCCTCCCTCGGCCATTCCCCGCCCTGCCTCCGCGCGGACCCCTGCGCAGCCCCCGGCCGCGCCCCCGGCCCCACACCTGGCCCTATTGTTCTAGGGCACCCCTCCCCCCCCCCCCGCCCGGGATGGGTGCCGCCTGTCGGCGCTCGCGGGGCCACCCCCGGGCCGGGAGAGCCGGCTCCAGCCCTCCCCCTCCGCCCCCCGCCCCCGCAGCCCCCTCTCTGCAGAGCTGTCCGAAAGAGCCGGGCTGTGCCAGGGCGAGGGGCGGTGGTCGGGGAGGGGGCTCCCGGTGGCGCGGTGGCTGGGGCTGTGCGGAGCCGACTGGCACGAGCACAGCGGGGTGGGTGATTCATGCATCACGATGCCGCTGCTGTTCCTGCTGCTGCTGCTTCGAGGTGGGCCTGTCGCCCCCTCCCTGGCCCGAATCGTGTGCGTTGAGGGGGGTGGGGGGCGAGACTTGCCAGAGAGCTCGAGGCGGCGGCGGCGTGGGGTCCTGGGCGCCCTGTGGGCTGCAGGATTTACAGGGTGAATTCTCCCCTGGCCCTGATCTCACCTCCCCTTTTCTATCTCTATCTGCCACATTGGGAAATGGGTTGATACAAGGGGCGGGGGGTTGGGGGCGTGGGGTGGTCTGGGCCATCTCGGCAGGTCATCGTCCGGGGCCCCTCTAAGAGGAGGGTCTCCCCATTTCGGACTTCTCCAGAGCTGGTCCAGTGTGTCTCTCCACTTGGCTCAACTTCACAACTGTCCTGTACCTTCGCATCTTTGGTTTCTCCATCACGGACTTCTCTCCTCCCTGCAGCCTCTTGGGGGGACACCCCAGCTTGCCAGGGGTTCATGGCACCGGGTCCTGACCACATGACCACATGCTCTTTTTTAGGGGGGGGGGACCGGGAGAAGGACGGCTGCATGGTCTGGAAGGGCTCCTGCCTGGGTGTGTGACTTGCAAGGGGGCACTGGCCCTGGCTGTGGGTTGGAGTTCAGACCCCATACCTGGGCAGCCGCAGGGGGCCAGCCCCTCTGCACTCTTCCCAGGGGCAGGAGATTAACTGCCAGCCTCCTGCGTTGATGGAGGCCTGGGAGGCAGCTTCTGGTGGTGCATTGCACAACCTCTGCCCCCCTCCCCCCCTCCATCGGTCTTCTGGGCACGTTTGCAGGTCTGGCCAAGCCCACGCTTCAGCTCCCTGCCCCTCGCCCCCACATGCTTAGAACAAAGGGGGCTTTCCTGAGTGGGCGCTAGTCTGCTGGGAGGTACTGGTCCTTCTCCAGTGGAATTCTCCAGCAAGGAACTCACATCCCAGTAGCTGCTCCTTGAAGTGTGGAGGCTCCAAGTACTGGGACTCGGTCCTTCCCGCTCTTACCCTCTTTCCTGGGGGGATGGGGGGAGTGGGGAGGTGGCCCAGTTTGGTTGCTCTTCTGTGAGACTTGCTGGGCCTTTCCTCAGGCTCTATCCAGATGTGGGCCATAGCTGTCCGCAGGCTGGCTGCGGGTGGGACTTCCCAGGTTCCTGGGCCCGGGGAGGCAGAGGACACCACGGGCTTTGACAGGAGTGGTGGGTTTGGGTTGAACCAGGGCGTCCCCATGCTGGCGGAGCAGAGGGGCCCACTGTGAGCTGAATGAAGCCAGGTTGCCTGCTTCCTGAGCATGTCACATGCCGAGCTCTTGGCATCATTAGCTCATAGAATCACCTTACACACGGTGGGCACTGTTACCAACCTCACTGACAGACAAGGAAACTAAGACTCAGAAAGGTGAAGTCCTGTGCCCACGATCCACGGCCAGTCACCACGTGGTGTCAGGACTCAAACTCCGGTCCGTTTCCAAAGTTATGCCCCTTGAAAGACCTCAGAACTCAGGCCAAGAAGTCAGGAGGGGCTTTTCTTCTGTGGGTCCCTGTCTGGTTGCTGCTATCAGCCCGTTGATGGTGGATTCTAAATGGGAAGGGGTTGGGGGGGAGGTCATGTTGCTGCCCCCCCCCCCGCCCCACCCCTGGGCACATCTGTCAACTTTGGGAGAAGTTGAGTCAACAGGGCTTTGTTAGGAATGGGTCTGGTAGTGCTGAGCCGGCCCGGGCTATTTTTAAAGGCCTTTGGAGACATGGAACAGTTTTGATCAGAGAGAGTTAGCCGAGTACCTTCCTCTGTAGAGCCTTTATTAGGTGTGGGCTGGGGGAGGTGGCGGGGGCTTCATTGGCTTCCCGTCTGTCTCCCTTGCTGCTGCTTGGCACTTAGTAGGTCCACAGATATTTGATGATGAAGAGTCTCCGGCAGGAAAAGCAGAGAAAGCCTCCAGCTTGTCCTAAGGTCCCCAGATGGGCTTCCTTCTGATGGGTGCTGGAGCCATCTGCTCCGTGTTCCGGGGGCTCTGTGTGTGGGGTCAAGAGAGGAGCACTGAGCAAGGGCCGTCAGAGTCTGGGAGAGCTTGTTGAATTCCAAGTGCACCGCTTGCTTTGTACTCCGATTTCTCAGTCCTGAGGTCTGGGCTGGGTCCAGGGCCTTGCGTCCTTGACAGGTGTTTATCACGCAGATCTTGGTTCCCAGGAGCCCCATCTGAAGACCCACACTGGTTCCGGGGGGGGGGTCCTAGGCCCCCTCGGGAGAGCACAGCTGGCTCCAGTGCCCAGAGGGGAGCCCAGATGTTCACACCTGAGTCATCGCTGGCTGCCACCCTTGGTGGTGACTCTTCTCCTCCGTGGGAAAGACTGTCCTGGTGTGTGTGTGGCGGAGTTGGGGGGGTAGGGGGGCAGGAGGAGGTCTAAGACACATCTGGATGCAGCCTAACTAAAACCTTCCGTCTTTCAGGCTGAACACTGCAGAGGAGATTTTTTTTCCTCCTCTGCAGATGAGATTTTGTAAATCATCGTGCCCCGTCGTGCAGTCCTCCCCCTTCCTGGCACAGCTCACATCCAGGAGCAGCAGGAGGTTCGAGCCTGATGGGGGCCCCTGCCCAGCCGGGACTCGGAGAGCAGGAGTCAGTGTGGCCGGCGGCCCAGTTTCTTGGAGGTCTGGCCCACTGTCTTCCGGCTTGTTGGTGAGGCTGTTGTCAACCCTGTGTGCCCAGGCAGTGGGACAGGCCAGCCCCTCCCCTAAGCGACCCTCGGTTTCCTCATCTGCAAAATGGGTATGCTCATGGTACTTGGCTCCCAGGGGACGTAAGGCACCAACAGGGTAATTCCCTTATAGCCTAATACGTGGCCTTTTGTAAAGGGTCCTCCTTAAGGCGCAACAAACACTTGTCAAGGATGTAAGGATGCATGGGAGCAGTCATTCCTAATGTCGCTTTGACTACACGATTCAGCTTCATCTTGAGTTGATCGTAAATACGTCTTGGGGGCAAAGTTCATCTCTCCACACGGGGCATCTTCCCACGGCCCCGGACTTTGTGCCCGGCCCATAGGACGCAGAGAAAGGTGGGATCCTTGGTGAGCCCGAATCCTAGCAGCTTCTTGTTTTACCTGCAGTGGTCTCCCCACACCCCCACTTGGTCATTTCTGCTCTGCCCTCACCTGCCCCGAGTGGCGCGCTCACTCGGGGTTGGGCACAGACATTGAAACGGGAAGGAGAGGGATGTAACTCTTGCCTTCAGATGGAAACCAGCCAGATGGTCCAAAAAACCAAGCTTATGGGGCTCGAGCCATTTGTTGTGGTCTGAGCTGCATTGGTTTAAAGGTTTCTGGGCTCCAGCCAGGCGGCCCCAACAGACACTCACCTCCACCCCACCTCCCTTCCTTAGCCTCTCCCCATGGTGCTCCCGGCACTCCCCAGGGACCCTCTGGCCAGGACCCGGAGGAGGTCGCCTGCTCCTTGTCGCTCTTGGTCAGCCCAGGCTCTGCCTTGACCTTGCTTGCCAACCTTGAGTCTCTGCAGCCTTTTTCCTGATGCCCAGAATGGTGCCCGGCACGTGGCACCTTGTGGAGGGGAGGAGCAACCCGGGGGGGGGTAGGTTCGGGTAGCCAGCAGCTAAGCCCTCTGCCACCTAGAGCCGAGAAGGGGACCCTCGTTCACGGTCAGGAGTCTGGGGTGAAGAGATACCGGGTGTCACCATTTGGGCTCTTGTAACTCCCTGGCTTTGGGAAGGTCACACGAGGGTCCCTTCCTGTAAGAGAAGGAATATTCTCCCATGATTCCTTCCCTCACCCAGTGCTGCTCAGCCAGAGGGGGGCAAGACGTTGCTGTGGGGGGAGGCAGTATCTGGTACCCATCTGGGGACAAATGGGTCAGGCTGTGAGGGGCCCCACAGCCAGGCAAGGAATAAGCCACCCAGGAGAGGAAAGGCCCAGAGGGAGGAAGGCGGCTTCTGTAATCCTATGTATCCTGGGCACAAGAGGATGAGACCAGGCAGGCCCGCTCCCTCTCTCCACTGGAGGTGAGACCGAGCAGCAGCAGCAGCAAGAGGAGTTGAGGTTAGGGGCATTACACTGGGGTGGGCGCTGGGCAAGAAACATCCACGTCTGCTGTTAGGAAAGAACTCAGTATTCTAGAGAAGGGGGTTGGGTCCTCAGTCAGGCTCTGTGACCTTGGGCAGGTCACTTACCCTCTCTGAGCAGCGGCTCCTTCATCTGTAACACCTGCCCATGTGACTCTGTGGATACAGATGGGAGGATGCTTTGAGGTCCAGAGTGTGGGCCGGAAAGGAAGGGGGCCTGTTTGGCAGCAGAGTCTCAGGGAGGATAGTGGGCCTCCGGGGCCAGATGTGCTGGGGTTCTGGCTCTTTCCTTGTGCATGCCCCTTCTCACAGAGCTTCACTTTCCTCCTGTGGAAGATGAGCAGCCCAGAGGCCCCAGAGTTGGGTTCACGGGCATGTGAAGGGT